GGCCGGGCTGGGATTCCTATATGTGGAGAGAGGGTGAACTGGGATAAGTGGCCCAAGGGGCCCTCTCCAGGATGGGGAGATGATTTTTTTTCACTCTGGGCTTGGATTCTTGTTAAGATGCAAATGCAGCTGGGAAGGATAATCCTGAGAGCATCTGGCATTTACAGCTCCAGGGACTAAACTCCAGATCCTTTTGTGAAATCAAGCTCAGGTAAGATAGGGGCTCAGAATCTCTGGGGCACTATTAAAAATGCACCTATCTGATCCTGATACTGGAAGATTTTCATTTAGTAGGTTGGGTACTGGCAACTCCAAAAATCCTGCTCAGTAATTCTAAGGTGCACTCCAGCTGAGAATTCTGGGATGGGGTTTGGAAGAGACACAAAGAGCCACTAGGCCTGGAGAGGCTGGGAGATTCCATTACAAGAGAGCAGAATCATTTCACCTCCTTCCAAAGGGCGTCTCTGTGTGTGCACGCACACACCATCCAGTCAAAAGAGCATGGGCTGAGGGTGTAGCTCATTGATGGAGCACTTGCCTAGCATGCATAGGGCCTTAGATTCTACCCCTAGCACCTGAAAGAAAGAGTGCAGGGACAGCAAGAAGTATGTGGTCCTTTAGCTGCTGGGAGCGGAACAGTCAATCTCAGCTTCCCCAAAGGGGTGGTGTCTATTCCAGAGAGGAGCAGTTTCCCTAGGAGCTGGGACCTGCTGGGCTATCCCAGACTGGAGTTTCATGGATATAAAGCGAAGGGATGCTTAGACATCATCTGTCTCCTGCAGTCTCCTCAGTGTGCACTGAGCATAGCTAATTTCAGTGGTCTCTGTCTTGGCAGAGTCTTGAGCAAACCCAGGGTGTCTGGGAGGCCCACAGGGGGCAGAGCGGTCCTTAAATAAGTTTGCCATAATAAAAATTTTGCAATACAATGTTGCAAGCAACCACCCAGAAATTCACTTGGAATAACAGGTGAATGTGAGATGTATACACCTGAAGTGAGTTCTCAGAATAGATCACACGGAAAAAAAATCAGAAAATGAAAAGGTATAATGAGATACACACAACTGAGGGGAATTGTCTTAAATGGCTGATTGTAATGAGATGTACATAAATTGTAAGGCTTGTAATGAGATGAAAAAATCATATTCTTGCCTGATAATACTGGGTGTAATGTCTATACCTGAAATAAGTCATCTCAGTGTGCTGAGTGTAATGAGATGTACATAATTTTAAAGAGTGTAATGAGATGAAAAATAAATCAAACACTTGTCTTAAAATGAAAGATGTACTAAGATGCACACACCTGAAGGGCATTGTCCTAAATGGGTTCAATTTAATGAGATGCATTTAATTTGCAAAGGGGCTAAATGAGATTGGCCCAGAGAGAGGTTGAGAAAATAGAAAGGTATGAGATACACTGGAAAGTGGTATAATAAAACCTGCCTCATTTGAGGGATGGAAATAAGATGCTAAAGTGGAAATGCACAGAGCATATTGCGATCAACATTCTTTCAGCCAGTCCTTGGTACTTATCCCTTGACCTGCGATGCCCTGCAAAGCTGAATCATTCTTTGACCCCAGGCACATCACAGGCACCTGTGAAAGCCTATTGAATGAATAATTGGCTTGGGGGTTGCAGTCTATGTGGCAAAAGGAAGTTAGAAGGAGCATCTATGAAGCAAGGACTTCAAAAGACAGCTGTAAACTATTTCTTCCTCTCTCCCCTCCTCCCTTTCCTTCTCTCCCTCCCTTTCTTCCTTCTTCTATTTTACTTTCTCCTTCCTTCCTTTTCCTCATTCCTTCCTTTTCCTCCTTCCTTCCTTCCATCTTTCCTTCCTTTCTTCCCTCCTTCTTCCTCATTTTTTTTGAGACAGGGTCTCACTAGGTGGCCCAGACTGGCCTTGAACTTGAATCCTGTCTCCCAAGTGTGTAACTATACCCATCTCTGAATACTATTCTCTATGAGCAATGCTCTTGGGGAAGACATTGCTGGTGGGACCTAAGTGGCACATATAAAAAGCAATCCTGTTGGGCTTGATAGCTTCTAGAGGCCAGAAAGGCAGGTTTGTCACTGACAACCTGAGTTAAGGTATGAGTGAGGGCATGTGAAAGTGAGATCCAGCTACACCTTGCTGTGAAAGGCAGGACTATCTTCATTACCACAAATGTTTTTTTCTTGACAGAGGAATGAGTCTAGAGCAATATAGTCCTTCTTTTTTTTTTTTTGGTGGTATTGGGGTTTGAACTCAGGGCCTCACACTTACTGGACAGGCATGCTACCATTTGATCTGCACCAGCCCTTTTTTTTGTGTTGGGTATTTTTGAGATAGGGTTATGTGAACTATTACCTGCACTGGCTTTGAATGGCGATCCTACTGATCTCTGCCTCCTGAGTAGCTAGGATTACAGGTGTGAGCCACTGGTGCCCAGAAATAGTTCCCTTCTGAAAAGCAAGCACTTAGCTATTGGGAGAAAGGAAAAATAGAGATGGGGAAGCATAACTAACCAGCCAACCCCACAGTGGCAGCTCCATCATAAATGGCAGCTGACCCTCAGCCTCAGGAGTGGCTAATATCAAAACCTGGAAAGTGTAGGAGATGGCAATTATTCAACTACACCCAATCATAGTCCTTCAAGAATAAAGGTCCCAAGTTGCCTGATTGCCTGACTTTTATTTATTTATTTGATGGTACTGGGGTTTGAACCCAGGGCTTTGCACTCACAAAGCAGGCAGGCACTTGCAAAACCAGCGCTCTACTGCTTAAGTCAGGAGAAATCAGGAATCTGATTTTTTTCAATTTGAAATCTTCCAACTTTTAAACGTTACTACAAAAATCTTAAAAACAACATACAGTCCAAACAAAACATCTCTGCCAGCTAAATTTGACCTGAACGTCACACTTGACCTGAGAATCTCTTGTTTAAAACTTTAAGTGGTAAAGTCAGGGATTGTCATCCTAGGATGACCAGACTGAGGTTCTAACCACTACAGAGATGTCACAAGCACCCTTTCAGTTCCGACCTTTGACTCCTAGAATGTAAAATCCTAGGAAGCAAGAAGTGTGTTGACCAATAGCTGTAGTCTTGGTGTGTAAAACAGTGTCTGGGATGGAGTCAGAGCTCAATAAATGAAGGGCTGAGCAGGCTGAAGGGTGATAGTCATTGTCCTCTCTGGGTCCCATGCAAGGCAACCAAGGGGCTCCTGTTGGGTCATGGATGTTCGGCTGGACCATGAGCGAGATTTCTAAACCTGAAGAGTCTTTCCTGATGGACTGGGGGTCAAGAGAAGAAGTCAGTCTAAACAATTTCCAGGGTGCTAATATCAGAGTTCCATTTTGCACTAGGGAAATCCCCCTACTGTACCTCGCCTATTGTCCCATCTCTCTTATTACCACAGGGATTATGACACATCTTCTCCTTGGGTAGTGTTTGGGTCATGCAAAGACAGAGCTTGTTGTCTCCTCAAAACACAGCCACTCAAATCTTAAATGATTTAGAAAACCCCTTTTTAGTTGGCAGTGGGGATGGAAAAAATGGAAGAACTAGATGGAAAATGATCTAGGAGAGGGAGAGGCTGGGGCAGGCGACCCTGTAATTTCTTTGGAATAGAATTCTCTTAAGTGTGTTTTGAAGAATCTGAAACACATTACTTGAAAAAAAAGAGGGGCAGCAAATAAATCTGGGGAGCAGCTAAAATGAAGTTAAGCAAGTTTCTTTCCTACAGTATTTTTCAGAATGTCCACTATGAAATCCTATATGCATAATAGACAATTAATAATGCTAAGCTAGTTTAGCTTTGGAGTTTTTTTCTTGTTAGCATATCTTTTAAAATGGCGTGTTCTTAGAAATCACTGCTTTAAAAGATAATGCAGTCTTCTTGATTCTGAGAAGTGAGGTTCTCATGCATTATCTTCTTACGAATCTTGACTTTCTACCCACAGAGGAGACTCTCTGCTGAGTTTGCAGAATCCTCTCCAGGTGATGCGCCTGGGGGTGGGGCTGGGCTCTGTGAGAACAGCGATCCTGGGAACCTTCTCAGAGCTGCGGGCGCCCATTTACATGTGTACCCACCCCTTCATAGCCTCAGCCTGGCTCTAGGGGATCCACGGGGTGTGCATACTCTGTATTCTTCTTAATTATAAACAGGGAGATCCCCACTGCTTCTAAGTAGACAGCTTGGACATCTTGGTGACAGAGCCCAGGTAAGGGGAGCTCTAGTCTGAGGCTGACAGGAAAACCTGCCTCTTACTGGCGTGGGGGAGATGAGCTGCCCTTGGCTTTCTTCTTGCCCCAGGGAAAGCATTGCTGACCCCTGGGATTTTGAGCAAGTTTCACCTTGGACACAGCCCTGGGGTTAAAGCTGCAGTCGACTGCATCTCCTTCTGGATTCTTGGGACCTTTCGTCGCAGGACAGGGCAAGGTGGGCATATGAGGGGAAAGTGTGGGGCTGTGATGGCAATAGCTTGGATGATGAAGACCCAGGCCTGGGATGGAAATAGGTAATACAAAATCTTTTGAAGGAGGTGTACTGTGGAAGGAAAAGACCAGAGCTCTCCCCTGCAGTGGGGGAAAACTGTCAGAAGAGGGCAGTAGAGAGCGTCCTTTACTCTTTAATCGCTTTGTTTTAGAGTTGGACATACACCAGGTAAGTGTGTAAAATTTGGCATCTTCCTCTCAGACCAGATAACTGAGGTCCACCTGAAAACCCTTTACTTTTTCCTTTTCTGTGAGTAGTCAGTCCAGTAGGGTAGATGCCAGGTCTCCAAGTTCTGTGTAGCCCAAGGTCCCATTAAAGGACTCATGGAACCTCTAGAGTAACCATAGGAAAAGAGAATTGAGCACCAGAACTATGATAGGTAATAAGATTTACTGAAAACTTCTCGGCCACATTCAGTACTGGTTTGGTGGACACATCAGAAGGAGGTTGCATAACATTAGGCAGGTGGAGGGAGCTGGGAGGAAGAGATGTGGGCACATGTGTGGGGGCTGCCTGTGCTAATGGGATGCTTGTAAAGTAGTGAGTGAAAGAAGAGAGAAGAGAGAGAGAGAGACAGAGAGAGAGAGAGAGAGAGAGAGAGAGAGAGAGAGAGACAGAGAGAGAAAGAGAGAGACTGAACAAGAAAAATAAACCAGAAGAGGAAATGTATTTTATCCCACTGCACATTTCAAAAGTCTCACGCCAAAAAAGCTAGACTTTCCTCTACCTATGGCATCAAAAGGGAGTAAAAAATGATTGGATCACCCAGATTATAAATAAGGTTATTTGTTTCTCAAAAATCCCTATTAAAACATTAAATATCAGCTCTTTTGGGGGAGAAATACATTCATTTCAGGGAGAGCTCAGGGAAGTGACTATCTTTTTGTTGGACCCAACCAGGTAGGGGAGGGGAAGCCCCAGAGGTCCCTGAGGGTCCCCTCCAGTTGAGCCAGTTAGCCACTCACATCCTGCCACTGAAGGAGATGGCTAATGCACAATTTACAAATGAAACTGCACGTCCATTAAATTAAATCCAATGGAAAACACACGTGTGATCAGTCCTGCCATTCACAGCCACAGGGTGGGAGGGAACAGGAGGAATGGATGCCAATCATAGGACCTAGAAGTTGGACTGGAAGGTGTGTGTGAGGGCAGACAGTGGAAAGCCTCCTCCTCCTAGGATCCCCAGTTCCTCCAGTGCTGGGTACAATGATGGTGTGCAGATCAGCAAGGCGGATGGGGTGGGCACCACTGTAGGCTCTTCAGTGCCATTACCCCCCACCATTTTGGATATTGATGGGAAGAGGGCTGTAAGCATCTTGTCCAAATTCTGGCTTCCCATAGGGCTAAATGCTTCTTCCCGAAGTTTCTTCTGCCTTCTCTGAAGGTTAGAATGAAGAAGGGAGGTGCCAGTCTTGGAGCAGAGGGACACCATGGGGGCATGGAGGTGGAAAGATTCCAAGCCACCTTTGGTTTCATCTCTCTGCAGGTCTGTGGAGGGGCTGGAACATCTGAGGAGCTCCATCTGAGGGTGGGAACATTTAGAGTAAGAGACCACTGTCCTGCTGTTTTATCAGCTGTTATGTGACCATGTAGGGACAGGTGTGGTCCCCAGAGTTATCTTAATATGGCTCCTGATTCAGGTTCTACCACTTCCTTGTTCTGGAGCCAACCCAGATGGAGAAACTCATCTTAACTTCTTACAGGTTGAACACACCACCTGACAAGGTATTTCTAAGAGAGACAAAAGGAGTCTCTCCTGCCTCTTTTTCCCTTCTCCCAAGTCCATGTTTACTGTGCCCAGAGACAGGGCCCTAGAGGGGTGAGCTGAAGCCCAGTGGAGTCCAGACCCCACTTTGATCTGCAGAATGTGTTGTTGCTTCAGGCCCTCCCACTCCTCCAGTCACTGGTTATGCTTTTGGTCTCCCTCCTGCTCTCAAATGTCTCTCAAAGAAACTGAGATCCTTCTGGGGGTAGATCCTAGATTCCTTTATCTTTCCCTTCCCTCCCAAGTCTGTCCCTAGGCATAGGCCCACTCTGCAAAAAGCACCCATCCACCTCACAGTGCAGGGCTTGTAAACAACTCAAGTCCTTCTGTAGGGGCCATGGCGGCCACCTGTCCTCAGTGATTTGGTGAGTTCAGATCTCACGCCTGTCTTTCCATACAGGCTGCTTGACTGGCCCCGCCAAATGGAGTCCTCTGTAGTTCTGCGGAAGGGGTCTGGGTGCTCACTGAAGCTTGGTGGTTGGGAAGGAGCAGGGCCTCTCCTCTGCATTTCTTCAAGCTACTGATTCAGAAGCTAGGGCCCAACTTCCTTGGTGCTGCCTGCCCAAGTTCCCTCCCCCCACCCGGAACCCTCCTGACCACTCCTCTGCTGCTCAGACCAGCGCCATCGCCATCTGGGCTGCCGGATTACTCCAGGGAGTCACTATGTTCCAAGCCCAGGTCACTGACATTCGTTGTCTGCAGCTCATCAGCCTCCTCCTCCAACTCCTCTTCCTCCTCCTCCTCCTCCATCTCATCCTCATCCTCTTCTTCTGTTCCATCCAAAGAGTCATCATGTGCAGCCATCATAGCCTGCTGCATGGCCATGGTGGCATTGTCTGAGGACAGAGACTGCAGGTTGTCCAGGTTGATGGAACCTTCATGAAAAAGGGCAAAGGTCAGGACTGTGCAGACACTGTCAGTCAGGCTCAGCAACCTCAGTGTTAGACAGGGTTGGATGAACTGGATCATCTGGTGGTGAGTTCCTTGTTTCTAAGGCACCCAACCCTCAGGGAGACAATTGCCTGGGATGAAGCCTCCCATCCTTTCACTCTTCAGTTTCTCCCTGCGCCATCCCAAGCAGCAACACTCCTGCTGGTTACTGTTTACTCAGCATAGGAAACACGTGAGGCAGTTTTGATTCTCTATCAATTCTGTAAAGGAGGGATTATTGTTCCCACTCTAGAGAGGAGGAAACTGAATCAAAGACAGTTAAGTCATGAGTTCAAGGTCATAATAACAGAGTTGGGATTTTCTCCTAGGCTGGTCTAGTCCCAAGTCTGTTTATTTCTACTACACCTCCCATGATGATGGTTTATCACATAGGAACCTATGCACAACCATATGCATGCACGTAAGTGTGAAGGTATGTATGCACACGTGCATCTCCATCCTACTGCCCACACAGCAATCATCACACACCAAGCTCCAAACTGGCTGGCTGATTGAATTATTCATTGTGCACAGGCGACTGGCAATTAGAAGAGTGTGTATGGAGGCTGTGATGGAGAAGCTGGGAGAACAAAGCTCCTTCTGGCCTCTGTTCACAAGCCAGCTGCCTGCCTTGGTATTTATAGATGGCCTTGGCTTTGGGGAGCTGTGCAGACATTGATTGTGCTGAGCAACTCCAGAGGGTGTGGGAGTGAGGAGAGAGCTCCACTGAGCAGTCACTGATTCAGATGACCACCCAACTCCCACTCATCTTTGCTTTTGGCTTGCTAAACTGTGTGCAAAAATATCCCTTCTTTAAGGCTTTCATGCAGATTGGGGAGGGGCAAGTCATTGTGACAGAGCAGTGACAGGGACCTGGAGGAGACATCAGTTCTTGAATCTGGTTTCCAGAAGCCTTCACCCACCCCTCACCTAGGGCAGCTTCAGCTCCAGTCTTACCGTCAGGGTTCGTCCCTGGAGCGCCACCCTGCTGCTGCAGGACCCCTGCAGCAATGGAGTTGGGCCAGAATCTTTGGGTAGGCCGGTGCTGAGACTTGATTTTCTTGGCTTTGGGGGCAGGGTCTGGGTTGCTGGCATCAAGCATGGGCTGCAGGATGCGCCTCCGGGCATTGATGAACCTGTCCAAGGGTGAAGGTGGGGACTGATTAGTGACCAGCTTGGGGAAGGGTAAGGCAGAGAGGGCTAAGCTGCTTCAGACTTCAGTAGACAGAACAAATGGGCTTCCCATCTAAGGGTAAAAATCCAGCACAGAGAAGGGCACCAGGCATTTCGTGATCACAAGATCCACTAGGATTGAACAGAGGAAGGAAGATCCATAGTCATAGGCAACAACTTTTCTCCAGAGGGCTGAGGGATCAGATTGGGGACCCCAACTCCAGAGTTGACACCCATCCAGCATACCTGGCTGGCCTTCTGAGCTCTGACCACCAGACAGAGGCAAGCAGAGAAGGAGAAAGCAGAGATCTCTGTGGAGTCAGATTGGTAACTTTTCCTTCTCCTTTACACTCCCTACTTTTTATAATGATAACACTATTTTATAACCCATGAAAGGACTTTATAACCCATGAAATGCTTTCACAAGCTTACTTTCACTTTATCAAGTCTATCATTAAGATAGGTAGGTCATATACTGTACCCACTTTACAGATGAAGAAATGTAAAGAATTCCCCTTTAGTTTCAGCTCAGTTGCAGGTGGGGTAGACCAGATGACCACTGACTACACCTCTGGTCTCTAGATGTAGACATTCCTGCCTGAATCTGCAGTACAGGTGGGTCTGGATGCTCAGGCAGGGTTGGGCTTTCTCCAGGTCATTGCTTCCAGCAATGTACCAGCAGAGGGCACTAAAAAGCTACAGATGAAGCCAAATGCCAGTGTTGATTCTGGCTCTCTGCTTCCAACCCACATAGGAGGACTGGAAGGGAAGCTAGGTGGAGACTGAGGCAGGTCTGGGCATCCCTTCTCCCTGCTACATGTTCCCTTGCCAAGCATGTGCCCCTGGATCTGAGTGCCTTTGGGCAGGTGATGCTAACTCACCAGTTGTTTACTTGCAGGAGGGTAAGATTTGTCTGGGCTGCGATCTGCCTCTTCTCATCCTCCGTGGGATAGGGGTGCTGAAATGAGAGGTGAAGGGCTAATGAGGGTTGGGTATGTGGTGGCTGGGTCCCCCTAGAGAACATGCTCAAGCCACAGGCACATCCCCGGTGGCTTGGGAGCCAAAACTGGGGAAAGTATAATGTTCGTCCCCAAAGACAAAGGTCCTAGAGATTGGACACAAGGCTGCCCCATGCCTGAAGCTCATTTATTCCAGCCCCACAATGGGGACCAGGGTGGTTTCCCTGGTCAGTTCAATGTTGATAGATTTCAAGGTACTTTTGCATCCTTCTCACTTGACAGTAGGCAGAAAGGCAGGCATTCTCAGTTCTAGGATTTACAATGGTCTCAAAAGCCTATAGAAGGTGATAAGTGGTATGAAAGAATCACTTCTATATAAATTAAGCGATATGTACTGGATATTTTCTAGATGTCCAGATGTATGCTAGGAATTCTGAGGAGACAGAAGATAAATGTAGTGATAACTGAATGAAATTCCCTACTATCACTAAATGATACTATCACTATCATTAGCTCAGTCCTTCTGAGTTGGCATCAGTCATCTTTATGTCACTTTGTAAGACTGAGTCATCATCCTTGTTGAGGGTGGAGTGGTACAGTTGTTGCCATAGTCTCACATACTCCAGTCCACGCATTGATTGCATGGTTGCTCCCTTTCTTAGACTATGCTTCAGGAAGGCTTCATGTATATTCACTAATGTGTCCCCAGTGTCCCCCACAGGCAAATGACTACTGGAGAAAGAAAGCAAAAGCAGAGAAGGAGATGGTGTGGTTTGGGCAATGAGCACTAGAAGCTTAGAAGAAGGTAAGTAGGTGGTGGTGAGAACAGTGGGGAAGACTACCATTAAGGTCACACTGAAGAAAGGGAAAGTCTGGGGAATAGGGTCCTGAGTCCACAGATAACTGAGTCTACACATCTCTGGGTCTCTCCCAGGCCTTGGCACAGTACCTGGCACTCAACAGATATGGTAACTGAATGGGCCAGAGCTTTGTCCTGGAAGCTGAGAGACTTGGGAATTTTGGGGGCAGAGGACCAAGCCATCCAGCATCCTCAAGACCAGGATCATTCCTTTTGATTGTGCTGGTAATAGAAAGTGGTGCTTGGGTATTCTAAAGTCCCAGCCTGGCTCTATTTTGACTAACTGTGAGATCTGAGGCATGTCACTTAATTAGACATCATAAAACCATCTGATGATTAAATGAAATTATACTTGTAAGCGCTCAATAAAAGGCAGCTCTTCATACTGTTGTTCTGGGGTGATGTGGACAAGGTATCTAAAGCTCTCTAAGGAAAGAGTTTGAGATCAACAGCCTTGGAAGCCACTCATTAGCAGTGACAAAGGAAAGCAACCTCTTCAGTTGGCCTTAGCATCCCTTGACTGAAGCAGTCAGGATCATGTGTTGTTTTAATTCACACCTCTGACCCTGACCGCCACACCAGGGCAGTTAGGACTTGTGATTCATACAATATTAAGATTCTAACAAGAAGAAAGCACATCAGTTTTACAGGAGCCAATTTCATGCTAATTGTGAAGGAGCAGAAAGGGGCTGGAAGGAGGGATTATAGGCCCTGAGGGCAGAGAGGCAGGAATTCTGGGAGTTCTGACACCTGGGGATGGAGTGGTGCTCATGTCCTATGCCACAGAGTTTCAAATGCTCTGTTCATGTGATGGAACCAAGTAGTCTCCATGCCCAGCAGATCTGTGGACAAAAATCAAATTCTCCCTCATTATCTATAGGGGATTGGTGCCAGGACCCCCATGGATACCAACATCCACAGATGCTCAAGCCTCTTACATAAAATGGCATATTTACATAGAACCTACACACATCTTCTAGAATACTTCAAGTCACCTCTAGATTACTTACAATACCTCATATAATGTGAATGCTATGGAAATCGTTGTTGTGCCATTCTGTTTAGGGAATAACGACAAAAAATATCAGTACATGTTCAGTACAGACACAATTTTTTTCCCAAATATTTTCAATCCAATTGGAACCCCCAGATACCCTGCACATGCTGTGCCTCCACTGGAATGTTCTTTCTCCCACTTTCCCACTGCAGGCCTTTCTGAGTTTCAGTGAAAATTTGTCACAGGTCAAATCCTCAGGGAGGCCTTTCCTAGCTCCTTGAGGCCTAGGTGGTCCCTACTGCCTTTGAATAAGTGCACTGAGTCTACCGTATGGCAATATATGTCTTCCCCAGGTGGCCATGAGCAGCTCTTGGGCAGGGACCCATTCTCATAAGGGATTGTCTGTCCAGTATGGAGACCAGACCAACAAAGAGTTCATGTTCAATAATGGTATATGTACAGATAAGTGTACAAACACAAAAAGCAGACAAAGACTTATTTCCTGAGCAGAGCTGGACTAGGCTGGCCTTGCTAACCAAGCTGGATCATCAGCCCACAAAGGCTGAGTGTTGGCTGTGTCCTGGGTGTAGGAGGTGAGAGATACCTGACATTATACACTCACAGCTGATATGGAAAGGAAAATTTTCTATTAAAGGGCAGTCCATGCCAAGTACCCCTTGGGTCATAGGAAAAGGATGGGGCCTCAAATAGATTTTGAAGAACAGCCAAGCTATTCCAGTAGAGAAGGCCATGGGCAGTCCAGGTAGGAGCCTTGCACTAAGGCTTACAGTTAGGACAGTCAGATGAAAATCTCTTCCACTGTTGAAGAGCCTGCAGAGAGGGAAGTCACCAAGCCTTCCATGAAAGCATTAGGTTTTCTATCTCTAAGGAGGATTTTGGTTTGTCCCCATTGAGTGGATGTCACAAATGCACAAATCAGCGCAATCCCGTCTAAGGGAGAGCTATAAGAATGTTGCCCTAATCTGGTAGGTTGCTGTCTTATAGATAAAGGTACAGAGCCCTTGCTACCAGTCCCTACCACCTCTCCCTGCAGGAAACAGAATCTTGGGAGGCACACAGTGGAGGCCATGGGTGAATACTAGCATTTAGCCCGGCTCTGGGAACAGGTGTGTCAGTCAGAACATTCCTGGCACCACCTCTGAGTGCTCAAGGGAGTAGTCCAGCTTGTACATGCCTTAGACCACATGATTTCTGAGGACAGAGTCAAAATAGTCCTGGCCCCTGGACAGACCACGATTAGGTCAGCGCTACTTTTAAGCACAATTGGAAAGGCTTGGGGCCAAGGACAGGAGGAGGATGAAATGAGATCACAGTGAGCCATCAAGCCATGGTAGCTGTTATTCTGATCAGTATTTGAAAGGTCTTCCATAGAGGTGGAAAGGGAAGGTCCCAGGCTGCAGATCTCTAGAAGTAAATGATTATTCCTTGAAAAAGATGTACAGAACAGACCAGAAAATTCTAGATCCTTCCCAGAGCCAGCCTGAAGACTCTCATAACTGAGCAGTGCTGAATGGTGGAAAAGAGTTGTTAGGATGGAGGCAAGTCCTGCCCTCCCACCTGGCAGCTGTGGGAACTTGAGTGCTCAGAAATTTATGTTTTCCATCTTTAGCTTTCTCAGTGTAACATGGGAATAACAAAAAAAGTGCCCACCTCTTGAACTTGGGGATGACTAAATGAGATGACACAGACATGTGTGTTCCATTGACTCATTCTGTGCAATGCACTGAAGCCTCTCAGACAGTGTCCAGTTGGACATTTAAGGTCTCCAAAGAAGGGAAATGTAGTACTTGCATTAAGTAGGCATTTCATGGCATCATAGTTGCCACTGGGAAGTTCCTCTGAAATCTGTCCCAAGCTCCTTCCCCACTCTTTCTGACTCCTCCCTTCATAGCCCCACAACTTAAGTCTCACCAGAAAGCAGTTTTCAGTTTGGAGAGTGAGTTATGTTTGGGTCCAGGTCAGAAGGAAACTAAGTCTATTCTGGTTCTTAGCTAGCTCCCTGGTCACTTCTTTGATCAAAACCCACCTGTGATTGTCCTTCCTCTTCTTAGCCCATGCATATCTTACCATGAGGCGGGACAAAGTACATGGGGAGCAGCAGCCTGTGGATGTCAGCAGATTCTGTGTGCTGCTGAAGTAGAGTGTGGAGGCTGACTCAGAGAAGGGAGCTGTCTGCTACCACCAGCACTGCTCTGGGCCTACTACACCCTCTTTCCTTTTTCTCCCTTCTAGCAACCGTGGGGCCATGGCCTGCTTTGGTCACTACACTATGGGCATGGCATTATTCAAAAGGGCCTGAGGCTACCCAGAGGGAGTCAGCCAACAGGGTAAGGGGCCCTGAAAGAACCACAATGCATCACATCTAAGATACCACTGATGCAGGATGCATGCTGATTTCAGAGATGCTAAAATGGAAGGGAAAAACGCAAGCCTTTTAGAATAAAGAGAAGTACAATTAGTCACCCAAGGAATTTCTCTTTCTATTATAATTGCCTTTGTTCAGACCTCCCATTCTTTTCTCTTTCCTTTTTAGCTCTGCCTTCGTTGAAATTGCACACACTCAGAAAAGTATAAAGAACTAAAATGTAGAGTATCATATATTACCACAAAGCAAATACCCATGGAATCACTCCCCAGGTCAAAAGATAGGAGACTACCAGCACCCTGGAAATCCCCATCTGCCCCCTCCCAATCACCTTCCTAAAGATATCCATCCTAAAGGTAGCCTGAGTTTTATGGTAATTACTTTATTTTTCTTCAAGGTCTTACTATCTATGTTACATCCTTCAACATGACCACTTAGTTTTGCCTGGATTTTGAACCTTGCATTAATGAAATAATTCATCCATGGTTGTTCTGTGTGATTGTAGTTATTCATTTTCATTGCTGTGTAGTTTTCCATAGTGAAAATCTATTGCAATTTTTTTTTTTTGTCACCCTCTTGTGATCACAAAACTGTTCTCTCTCCCTTTGGTTCCTATTTTAGCCCCTTCTTTACACTGCAGCAAGATTGGTCGTTCTTAACTCCTCCCTGTCCCCACCCCTGCTTAAATTAAGCCCATTTGGACACCCCTCCTATGAATTCTGAGTGCTTACCCTACCTAGGATTCTTCATACTGCAG